AATGAATGTTTTTACTATACGTTTTTTACCACTTGTTTATTAATATTATTAAAATACAAAACAAAAAATAAAAAAAAAGTTGAAAATTGTAAAAAATGGCAGCTGATGAAGTGGGTGGTCTCAAAAAAATGGCACCTTGACATGATTTCAACCCTCCTAGCCATTGGAAATGCAAAAAATAAAAAGATTATTAATCTACAATGATGTCGCAATCGGCCGAACTAGCGATGAGTAAAATGTTTTTTTTTACAAATTGGCGACTGTTTGAAAAAAAAGTGTTTTTTTTACTGTTCTTTTGAGTTTCTCGATTTTTTTAAAAATAGTAAATATTGGAATTTGGGGATAATCCTAGTTCCGGCTATAGATAGGTCTATAAACAAGACTCTCTGAACATTTCAAGTGAATCTGTCGATTAAAACTCGAGAAATCGTGTCAACAGTACTGAAAAAGTCTGTTCTGAGAAAAACGCATTTAAAGTTTTGCGTGAAGCCAAACCAGTATGGAGACCGAGTCAGTAAAATGCCTATATCTTCGAAAATAATTCAAATTTTCAAATACCTTCTCGTACCCATATTCTTAGATAGTTAAACTTTGAAAATATGAAATAAAAAAAATCGATTTTTTTGAATTTCTACACTAGAATACTCCCTTAAATTATTTACAGGGATCCAGTTTGGCCACGGTAATCCTCATGTGTTTCTTTCCTCTGCGATACTTTAAATACCAAAAAATGAGCCAAAACATTGAAATGATATAAAAAATGAATAAGCCTATTAATTAGATTTTTGAGAAATTTTAACTTTTTGGGAAAAAACTTGGATTTCTTTTCTTTTTTTGAAAAATTTTGGAAATTTTGAACTTTCTTTCAAAGCAATCGCACTGCTTTAGCTGCATAGAGACGAAATATCAAAGCGCGTAAGCGCCGCGTCGCCGATTAACGGAAAAACGACGTTACGGAACCCATAAGTATGTAAAGAAAATTGATACACATTATTAAAATCTCCATAAAATATCTGATAGTTTGATGTGCATATGTCTAATGATAATTTTTGACCGCCAAAAGGCATTATTTTTTACTTTTTAACTTCCCATAGGGCAAGTCATAGTAATCGCAAAAAAATCGAAAATGAAATTTTTTATATATCTTTACGTTTCAAAACCTTCTGAACATTTTGTGTGTATGTGTATGTGTGTGTGTGTGTGTGCGCGGATACAAATTTTCGTCGACGATTTCGGGAACACGGATGAAGCGATTTGAATAATTCAAAAAACATTCGATTCATATTGATAAGGAGACATGCTGATTAGTTTTTGGCGAAGGCAGGTCTAGCCGTTCCGAAGATACGGAGCAAAAAGTGCCACAAAAGGTAATTAAGTTTTTAAGGGAACGGAGCGTCCGATTTGAATAATTCAAAAAACATTTTACTTGTTTTAACAAGATGAAGAACTGATCAGAATTATCATGATCATTTTCATGAAGGCAGGTCTAGCGGTTTCGGAAATCTAGTAAAAAAAGTAAAAAAAAATGCCATCTGGCGGTCAAAAATGATCATTAGACATATGCACATCAAATTATCAGATATTTTATAGAGATTTTAACAATAAGTATAAATTTCGTTTACATTCCTATGGGTTCCGTACCAATGTTTATCCGTTAGACGGCGACGCGTCGCTTACGCGCTTCGATATTTCGTCTCTATGCAGTACAATTGCTTTGAAAAAAGTTCAATATTTCCAAAATATTTCAAAATAACATTTTCTTCAAAAGTTCTTTTTTTTTTTAAAAAAAGTAAATTTTTGTCAAAAATTTATAGTTTCTCAAAAATCCAATTTTTTCAGAGTTTTTTTTAGAAAATGTTAATCTTTTTTAACAAAAAAATTTTTGGTACGGAAAGTTTCAGCAATTTGCCTTAAGGCACGATGCCGTGCGCCCCACTAGTTTCACTAGATCTTCGAAACCGCTAGACCTGCCTTCCCAAATTTAATCAGTTGTTCACCTTGTCAATACAAGTAAATTGTTTTTTGAATTATTCAAATCGGACGCTCCGTTCTCTTAAAAACTGAGTTACCGTTTTTGGCACTTTTGGCCTCGTATCTTCGAAACGACAGGGCTGCCTTTGCCAAAAACTAATGAGCACGTCTCCTTATCAATAGGAATCAAATGTTTTGTGAATAATTGAAATCGGTTGAACCATGTTCCCGAAATCGTCGACGAAAATTTATATCCACACACACACACACATACATCCATTTTTTCTAAAGTATGCTAAAATGTTCACCTTTGAAACGTAAAGATATATATAAATTTTAATTTTCGATTTTTTTATGATTACTATAACTTACCCTACGGGAAGTTAAAAATAAGGGGGGCGCAGCATTATTTTTGCAAAGGTTGAAAACCGCTGAGTTACTACTGAATTACCTTTTAGAACCACTAGTTTACAGAATGTACATTACAATAGCTTATATAACACATAGTTCTGATTGCATATATAAAAAATGCAGAGTCAAAAGATCGTTGCATATTTTTTGCCCTTTAGAGACTCTATATTACGATCGGTGATAAACCTGCTATTATGTGAGAGTTTTGTGTCGTCGGTCGTCGACATATTTGGCCTGTTTTTAATAATGGTAATTGTATATAAATGTCGCAACAAAGTCTAGACAGAAACTCGTCTAAAAACAACGCTTTTGATATAATAAAGCTCGGCTTAAGTTTAACTATACGAAAAGAAAACAAATATGAGAGAATAATTTACTCCTACGTAACATTGCGCACAGTTGAACTTGAGTCAAATATAATTACTATTTTAAAATCATATTATAAGGAAAATGCTTTGCAGTACTCGATTTCTAAATACATATTATATATAAATTTTTTAATTTACAAAAAGTAAGAATAAATCTAAACATCTTCTGAATACACAAGTATTAGATATAATACTAAACAGATATTGGTAACTAAGATATTAGAAATCTTGAAACGTTAACATTGTCATCAATAAATTTAAATTCATTTTGGCGGTATGTTGCAAAATTGTAATCCCTAAGTTATAAATTAATGCTTAAAAACTTGACTAAAGCATTTGATGTTTCAATATACATATATTCATAAAATAGGTATACATATTTTTTATATACTCTATTGTTTAATGACCTAACATAACAAGACATACCTAACATTGTTATTAAATTAATTATTTTAGGGGAAAACAAAAGGCAAATTGTAAACGTTAATTATCTAATTCACTTTTATAACAGAATAGTGGACTGTTATATAAAAATATTCAAGTTTAAAGATATTTTATTTGCTCTCTATTTGGACACGGACAAAATTATTACATGATTTTCGAGAGAACTTGTTTTAATAACTTACCCGTAGGGTAGTTATAGAATGAACCAAAATCGAAAATAAAAATTATTGCATATCTTCAGGTTTCAGAGGTTTCTGAACATTTTGGCATGCCTCTGAAAAAATTGCATATCTTCAGGTTTCAGAGGTTTCTGAACATTTTGGCATGCCTCTGAAAAAATGTATGTGTGTGTGTATTTTTGTGTGTCCGCATTTTTTCGGGCGCACGGATCAGCCGATTTGATTCCTATTGATAGGGAGATGTGCTGATTAGTTTTTGGCAAAGGCAGGTCCAGCCGTTACGGAAATACGGAGCAAAGAGGGAAGAAAATAGAAATCGAGTTTTTGAAAGAACGGACCACCCGATTTGAATGATCCAAAAAACATTCAATTAGTAATGATTGGGAGACGAGGTGATTAGTTTTTGGCAATGGCAGGTCCAACCATTTCAAAGATACAAAGCTAAATGTACAAAAAATGGCAGTTTTTGAGAGAACTAAGCATCCGATTTGAATGATTCAAAAAACTTTCTGCTTGTGTTGACAAAATAATTGCTTTTGGGGGGAAAAAATCATTTTTTTCTGTTTTTTTTTTTGTATATCGAAACAATTCAGATTTTAATTTTAATTCTGGCTAACGTTCTAAAGCTGACTTATATACTTTAAATAAATAATTTTAACTTTGTAATTTAGTTTATATAATTCTCATAAATATTAGACAATGTTACAGTATTTATAATAATTTGAAAATATTTAATATTTCTCGAAAGTTTCATTGCTGTACGGAAAGTTCGAGCAATTTGCCTTAAGGCACGATGCCATACACAACTAGTTTGCTCTTTATTTGGACTATGGACAAAATTAATTACATGATTTTCGAGAGAACTAAAAGAAATTCTCAACGCTATTTTTCTGAGTTATAATATAAAAATATATACTGAATAATATATTTTTTTACAAATTTGGGTTATTTTACATACTCTGTGTTAACTCAAGGACAAAAAATAACATGATTTTCGAGAAAAACTAAAATAATCTAAACGAAACTGTTCTAATTTATATAACAGTATAAAAATAAGACTATCAACTGTTGATACCGAATATAGTTGAAAATAAAAGTAATTTCATTCCATAACGATATGTAACAGAAAAATAAAAGTGAAATAGCCTAGTTCCAGCATTAATTGGACCAATAAATTAGATTAAAATAATTAACAATTAATATGATTCATATATGCAATTAAATACACCTCAAAAATTCATGACGTTTCTCATGGCCATGGAACACTTGTTAAAGCAACAAATGTCACGCTTGTTTATGTACTTTTAATTGATAAACGGTAACAGGGAATGCATTCCAAATGCAATTATATCAGTTCTATATAAATAGTAAATAAATAATAGGCGAAAGAATGCGTAAACAATTGGACATCAATTAAATGTCAAATTGACAAGAATTAAGGTTATATCGTGATCATTTGACACTTGGGACAGTTTGTACGCCAGTCGTGTAAAAATGAGTTACCTGGTGCAACTTTTATCAAATTTACGTAAAAATGAGCGCGTTGCTAAATAAATAGGGCCCGTTTGACGTGTAAACAAACCGAAAAGCCAACGCCCTAACAATAATAACAAATTGTTAAACTCACCTTAGGCAAATCCCTTATATGATTAGCATCCAATAACAGTTCTTCCAAACTTCTTGAATAGCGTAAAATATCTTCGGGCACGTTTGGTAAAGAACAGTGTCTTTTGTCCACAAACTCCACTTGCCGATTGCAACCTTTAAATATAGGAATGCAGCGAAACATATCGAAAACTATTATTAACGTTATTTAGTAAATACACATATCACATTTGAACTATTCACATATACAATTATTATTAATCGAACAAGAAAATCATCTTTTATTTATGCCAAGCGGTAACACCACTCCTCAGCCGTTGTTCACACGATAAACTCACAGAAACTAACAGCTAACTAACACACGGCACTCTGTTCGGACAGTGCTGACTGCAAGGCGCTCGCACGCCGTACTACGTTCGATGGAAGATGAACGTTGACTACCTTGCCTAGTGGGGCAACTGATAGACATTTTGGAAACACTTTTGTAAATTATTAAATTTATGCTTAAACAACTATAATCGACATTAGCACTAGCAAATGTATAGAAATATACACAATTTTATTAAAGACTGTTATTATTTCTGCAGCAACTTTGCAGCAGTCAGGAACTTTAAGCCATTTTGTATTGAATATTAGTCTAGTATTTTTCTGTCCTAATTTCAAAACAGAAAACAATTTAAATTTAATTCTGCACAAAAAATAAACTTTTGTAGAAAAAAAGACAACACAGTAAATATGACTATTTATGAATCAATTTAAAACACAAGTCACAAATGTTCTCATTCAAATCACGTTTTAATCTCTGATATGTAGGAATCCAAATAAATAATAATTATTTATATTGTTTTTATTCTTAATTATGTAATTAATTTTCAAAATAATTTAATAAATTCAATAATATTTAATTTTAAATTGTTTTAAGAACATTCCAGATCTTTGCGACCAGTCTATGCAGCGGGAAATTCAAAATAACTTACCGCGCCTTACGATGGTATATAAAGGAACGTCGTTTCTGCGGACATCTAAAATTTAATAAATATAAAAATGTGAATATAAATAAATGTACAAATGTACTAAATATCAATAATACTATGCGTGACTGAATTTAATATATAAAGTTTCAAAATATTAAAACTTGTTGAAAAACTTTTGTTACAGTTGTAGTGCTGCCAACATGATAATATGCCATTACCTGTCAAGTCGTCGATGTCAGATTCGATACCCTCCATTTGCTTTCGCGCGCGATATTTGAAATGGTAACTAAATATAATTATAATATCTTTGATGTAATATGTACAACATTGTAAGGCAAATGGATTTTTTTTTTAATTTTTCATTTGGCCTTGCTTACTTTGAGCATACAGCCACTTACAACATTTTTATTTATTTACATTCTATTTTTATATCATATTCAATCTATAGAATATATATATCTATATATATCCTATTCTTAATTTTTCTTATTTTCTTCAATTCTTTATTATTTTCAAATTTCTAAGTTGAATAGAACTTACATCTTTATTCCATTTTTTCTTCGTTCTTCTTTTTAATTTCAGCAAGTTCTAATTTTTTTCTTCTTACTCCTAATACAATTTATCTATTCGAATTCTGTTATTGAATGGAGAATAATTAACTTAAAACTACTAGAAAACAAAACTGTAAAGTTGATTGATAGAATGTATATGACTAATGTACTTGTATACAAAGTCAAAAAAAAAACAATAAAAAAATATTTTGATTTTGAAAAAACATTGATTAAGAATGTAAACAATTTGATACATAAAATAATTAACACATTAATAAATTAATTTCTGGTATATCAAAATATGAAATAATGAACATACTTTTACATTTTCATTGTTAAATGAAATAAAAATCAATACAATAAAACTACAAACATATTAAAACTGTAAAAAAATAACAATTGCGAGTACAAAGTAAAAATGATTTGTTAGATATGCAAAATTATATCAGCAGACTGACTTTGCAGAGAAAATATTTCAATTATATACATTCTCCTTGTTGACACAAAGCATTTCCTTTGAAATGTTAGTTGAATTGTTGAATTGTTCTAACAACAAACAATTTCAAATTCCACAAACAAATATTTTCTACCAAAACGCATTTCAACATTCAAGAATTTATTAATTTGATGTAAAAAAACAGAAAAGTAGATATGAAATTTTTTTAATGAAATAATTGGATTTAAACCAAAAACCTGAACATTTACATTTTATTATGCTTTGAAAATAGATAGTACAATGATCACATGAAATCATCATAATCATCATAATCATAAGCTCCATATTGATTCATTATAGCATTATCGCCCTCCATTTTCAATTTAGCTTTTCCTTTTCCCTTAGACTTTTTAGCTTTGTCGCCCTTTTCAGCTTTTTGTTTCTCCATATACATATTATCTATCGTGAGTTTCAATTTCTTAAGATCAAAGGAATTTACTGTAATAAAAAAATATTTGTGAGAAAAAATTATGAAGATATTAAGTTGCAGTACTGATGCAAAGCATTTTTTAAAATATCTTATTTTTGTTGAAAATTGGAAGAAATTTTGGGATATTATATATAACAAGTGCACTTTCGCAACTGTTGAAGTAAACTATAGTAATATATTTTGCTTACAATTCACACAGATGTTTCGAAATAGATCCTCCACGAAAGCAGGAAATTCATCTCTGGATTTATATATAGACACTTTTCTATTAATAGCATCTGCTAGCTCCTCAAAGCCTGCTTTGTCATTAGGATTGATGCTGTCAATACTGGGTGCTACTCCTGAAATTAAATAGTATTGAATTAAATTAAAATATTTTTTCTGATTCAAAAACAAAAAAAAATGTACTTCATTAAATCACTAAGTATTACCTAAAGTTTCAAGAGCTAATCTCAAGTCAGCTTCTTCTTGAAGCTTTTTCCTACGAAGCTCAGCTTCACGTTTTTCCTCAGGAGTCATATTCTCTTCCTCCTCTCGCTGTCTACGTTCAGCTTCCTCCAATCTTAATTTCTAAAAAGTTTATAGTGTAAATCTAAACATTTTCAAACAATTTTTTATACTCACTTCCTTCTCTGCAACACTTTTTGCTAAGGACTTTTTTGGTTTAGTTTTAATAGGTTCATTTTTATTTGAATCATTTTTCTCTACATCCTTTTTTTCTTCTTCTTCATCTTCCCAACTTTCCTAGAAAGCAAATTCATATCGATATATTAAGAACTGTAAACAAATTATAAACATATGATCAAATATCGTATACAAGTTTAGTTGGTTCGATCATTTCACATTTAGTAACTACTGTAGTGATTTATAGGTATTAAACCAATTTAGACAATATTACACCAATTAGTTTCCAAATTGAATACACAAATTAGAACTTTATTAAATGAATACAACATATGTCACAACACTCACAAAAGAAAACTAGTTCACCAAAAAATAAAGAACACAAAATTTGTTTACAAAAGTGCAAGAAATTCCTCAGCTTGTTATGATTAAACAAAAGCTTCTATCAACAAATAACTGATAACAAGTAGCTGATTCACATGTGGACACACTAGAAATTTTATTCATTCGTTTCTAGAAAAATCAAATACAGTGCCAAAAGGAAGTTAAATTCGCAAATGGAATGTTTAAAAATGACGTAACGAAACAGTGAAATTAAAGCTAATAAGAAATTCATATCGTGACGCGACAACATATTCTGACACCTCACCTTCACTTCATCGTCTTCATCTTCACCAGCCCATTTGTTAAGAGGATTGTTTGGAACAATCGACGGAACTTTCGGGGTTACAATATTTTCTGCAATAAAAGCTTAAATGTCAGAAAACGGCACATGGATCACTATCGTATATCAATATAATCTTCATGTAAAACCTCACCCCAATCGTCCTCCATGGTTTAATTATAAATCAATTAATTGCGTATTAGATTAGAAATACTTTCGAACAACCATACCTAAATATTTGTACAATAAACATCATGACCGCACTAGCCACGAAGCGTGTTTCTCAATCATGCACATTGCAATGCGAATCACACGAAACTTGAAACAAAGCAGCCAACACTAAACTGACTATTCTTCTAGAAACTTCATGCCGGTATTGCCTAATCCAACGGATTAACAATTTCAAACCACCAAAACGCGCTAAAACTCAATTTCATTTTTCATTATTATGTAAATGATGTCAAATAAATAACAAAGAACGTCAAATATTATTTTGATATTTTCTTAACGTTTTAAATTTTCTTATCAAAAACAAAAAAGCTTTAGTTTTAACTTCAATTCAATTTAACCAAGTCATGGCTAGCATACGAAGCATCCGATTTGAATAATTCAAAAAACCTTTCGCTTGTATTAAAGAAACGATTGTTTTTGAGAAAATAAAAAAAAAATATTATTAACTTTCCGTAGGGTAAGTTATAGTAATCGAAAATAAAAAAAATTACATATCTTTACGTTTGAAAGGTTTCTGAACATTTTGGCATATCTTGGAAAAAACTGATGTATGTGTATGTGTGTACACACATTTTCGTTTGATTTAAATAATTAAAAAAACATTCGATTCGTATTGTTAAGGATACTTGCTGATTAGTTTTTGGCAAAGGCAGGTCTAACCGTTCCGAAGATACAGGGCAAAAAGTGCCAAAAACGGTAACTCAGTTTTTAAGAGAACGGAGCGTCCGATTTTAATAATTCAAAAAACATTTTACTTGAATTGACAAGATGAAGAACTGGTTTTGATTTTTGGGAAGGCAGGTCTAGCGATTATGGACTCTAACAATGTACAATAAAAATAAGTTAAAAAAATTACGTTTGGCGGTCAAAAATGTTTATTGGACATATGCACATCAAATTATCAGATATTTTATAGAGATTTTAATAATGTGTACACATTTTGTGTAATTTTTTTTGAGTTCCATACCAAGATTTTTAATTACGGTACGGGAAGTTCCAGCAATTTGCCTTAAGGCACGATCAGTCTAGAGGCATAAATTTTATGCGATTTTTGCGAGACTGTAAAAAGGCAAACATTATTTTTATCATATTTTTATTACGCATAATTAACGTTTTGAGAATATATAACAAAAAAAATTAAAAATAGACAAAATTTTGATTCTAGAAGAGAATGAAGTTGGGTATCTCAAAAAATTGGCACCTGACCATAGCCATGATTATGATTATAGCCTTCAAAATAATCTGTAGAAAAAATTGTAAATATGTATATTATTCATGGATAAATAAAGAGTATATTATTAAACCAAAATCAGGTCGCTATCATACAAACTATGAACAGGTCATAAAAAAAATACACAAAATGGCGACTCTGAAAAAAAAATTCACAACTTTTTTTTAGTTTTCTAGAATTCTTCAAAAATACTGATAATCAGTATTTGCGTTATGTTACAAACAAATGTAACAATCATAATACTTTAATGACCCATGTGTTCATTGTAAAATCACTGTTTATGAATGAATAATGATACTTAAAGAAAAAACATAATATATAAAGCAGATAGACAGGGTATATTTCACTACCCTGATATTTTATATATTTATTATGTAATAATATACAGAGCTTAACAAAAAAAAATATTCCATAGATTGGATGTTACACCTTCAGTCTTAAAATATACAAAAATCTAGTATAAACAAAATAATTTATTAGTTATGATGAGCAATGTAATCAGCTCTTATTATTTAATTCAGTTATATATTTATTCCATTGTTATCTACATCATTACTCTGAGAATTTAGGCAAATCCAAAACCTTCAGAACATTCGTGTACTGCTTTTAGTAGATAGGATCGCAGCTTATCATATGTTTCATATACAGGCAAATCTAGTTGATTAAAGCTGGAACAAACATAAATCAATATAACTCGATCTATAATTTCAATAACTCTATCCTGATCCATTGAAGTAACTTACCATGTATGTGCAGAAGGTAACCTGTCAGTTGAACGATCATCTCTATGGATTTGGAATTTCTGCACACCGTTCATGCCTTCTAAAGCAGCAAAACCTTGTAACGGAACTTTAGAAGTGCCAGTTACAAACTGCAAGAACTTGGCTCTATCTGCCTGATCAAAAGAGCGCAGAGATCTCCAGAACCACTGAATCTGTGTACAAATATAAATGTCAGAGGTACAAATATATACAATATGATTTTGTTTTTTAATTACCTGTATCGATGTTGTCTGGTATTTATGATATTCTGTGTTTGCCTTCAAGTCCTCAATATCAACATTTGGTAAACCGGATATCAGTAGCTCTAGTTCTTGCTCATTGAAAATAGATATCAACCGTTTAGGAATGATGTCGTAGAACCCTTCTAAGAAGGCATTTAATCTGCACAAAAAAAAAATATGATTTATGTATTTAATACATAAATGTTATCAAATATTCAAATACTCACTGTTGCCTTATAGCACCGCACATTTTCATTTGACACACCCTTCTAATATACTCATGTTTATTTTGCTCGGTGACAGGTATATTTCTGCCATTAGGAATTAAATCTCTTATATCAGTAACACCGAATTCTTGAACTTCAGCACTGAATGTTAGATCATAACCCAAGTCAGAAACATTATGTTCAGTTAAATATACCAAGCCTTGGTAAAAACTGTAGTCCTCGCTTTCCATATCAGTATGCTTCACTTGTATGCCAAGAATATGCTTATAGAATGACCTCGTGAAGTAACATTCAAGTAATTTGTTATCATAAATTGCCTTGGCTGCAAAATAATAATTGTAAATAATTATTTATATTTCATAGATATCCATATCAAAGTTAAACCTATAGCCATACCTATAACTCTTCCTACAAACTTATAGTAACACAAGTGATTGGGATTACAATGACTTGATGAATTAATCATGTAAGTCACCCTGTCTCCTGGTGATACAGTGAACAATGCGTACATTGGGTTGAAATATCCCTGGAAATTATGACATACCATTCTCTTAGTAAGCCACCTGCATCTTGCCCTCTTCATCTGTTGAGATCATAAATATTAATGATATTGAAAGTTATCAAACATTAAAAGTTATCAATTAGTAATATGTTTCTGGCTTGCATACCTTCAAAGACACATATAGAATCTATTTTTTCCATTCCTCAGAGTTTCTCCTATACAATTCCCTGAACGAATCCTCAAATATATGACTTCTGCGCACATGCACAGCTAGTCTCCTCGCGTCGAACACCTTCATCTAACCTCTCTAATTCTGTCCTGAAGTATCGTCTTTTAACATCAAAGTCCAATACTCGCGTGTGATCCACTAATCACCTGCATCTTGCCCCTCTTCATCTGTTGAGATCATAAATATTAATGATATTGAAAGTTATCAAACATTAAAAGTTATCAATTAGTAATATGTTTCTGGCTTGCATACCTTCAAAGACAATATAGAATCTATTTTTCCATTCCTCAGAGTTTCTCCTATACAATTCCCTGAACGAATCCTCAAATATATGACTTCTGCGCACATGCACAGCTAGTTCCTCGCGTCGAACACCTTCATCTAACCTCTCTAATTCTGTCCTGAAGTATCGTCTTTTAACATCAAAGTCCAATACTCGCGTGTGATCCACTAATACTGAGAATGGACCGTCAGCCAAGTGAGTAGTTGTTTGACGCAGAATTTGATTTAAAACTGTCCTGTGAGTTTCTGTAAATTATAGATAAAAATAAATTTGATCAATTGAACATTGTAAATTTAGCAAATATTTAACAATTTTATATTCTACAAGAATGTGTAATTGTTAAGATAAAAAAAAACAAACTAATTGAACCCTTTACGATTCAAAAACAATCTATGAGCAAATCGGCGCCGCCGAATATGAAACAATTATATTTGCTTTTCTACATTTTCATGTCCACTGTACTTACAAATATCATAAAAAAACTACCAACCATACCAAAAGTAAGTAGTTAAAGAAAAAATAAATCTCATGCACAAATCTACCTGCAAAAGCCAAAAACTTCTTTTGATCAGTGTGTAAACTGCTGACAGATGGTTTGTTTTCAGTTCGTTGCACGACAGTGTTATTTGCGCCTTCTGTTCCATGAGATGCGCCATCCAAAGGTGATAAAGGTGCTACATCATTATTGTCTATAGGAGGAGAAGGAGAAACAGAGCCACTGATTCGGTTACTAGAAGCATTATTACTTCCACCCTCTTGAACTTCTCTAGAACTGACATTATTAGAGATTGGTTGCTCCTGAATATGAGGATTTCTCTTATTTCGTGAAGCTGAATGAACAAGGAAAAAGGCTTCCACAGCTGGTTGTAATACTAAGACTGCATGATGATCAGGAGTTTCCTCCAATTCAAACAGGCACTGACTAAGAGTGTTCCAAAGACTATCCAAATTCAAAGCTTCACTCAACAAAGTGAAAGTAGGAGTGTATATGTTATTTTTATTTGACATAGCATCAGCACTAGTATCCATTGCATTTGTTGCTTCACTGTTAGGATTATTTTGCGGTTCACCAGAAGCTCCATCTTCAATATCAGCAGTAGCCATCGAGACATTTTCTTCTACTTCTGGCCTCTCAAATTCTATATAACGAAAAAAAAAATCAAGTTAATAAACCAATAAAAAGTCAAACCATTTAAAAATTCTCTAGAACACTTACCCAATTTAGAATCTTCAACTTCCTTAATTTGAACAATAACCTTTAGAATTCGTAAGAAGAAGGCTTGACTTGATGTCTTTGATATAAGCGGTGCCATTGAAGGAAGTTGTAAATCACAAGTTGCTTTGGTTTTTGATGAAGCTGCAACAATGACTGCATCATTTGTAAATCTATCTTTCAAAATTCCTTTAGATGCCTTTAAGTTGTCGCCCACGTTCTCATCTTTATTTATATCTTTCTTAACATTATTCATAGTCTTCAGCTCCTTTACTAAATTACTAATATGAGTTTGCACCATCACAGATAAATCAATTGCTCCTTTAAGCAATAAGCGTAATATCTAAAAATAAAATTGAAGTAATAAAATAATTAAATTTCACAATGCAGAACATTGTACTAAATTTTGTTCAAGTTATGTGAGGAATAAAAAATGTTTATACAAAAACCAAACTGGCATCATGTGGAATTGAGATAATAGACACAATCAGTGTTCATCAATTTGACATGACATCATGTATATTATGTTTATTACAAGTTTAATTTCATACTTAAGAATTGTAATGAATAAAAATAATAATACCATTTTTCTCGTTCTCGCAGAGTAGTGCGAAAGATTTAATAACAAAGCAGTGGCATCTTCCAACCCATCCTCAGAACAGCTTTTGGAAGTTAGCACTTGAATAGCTAACTGTAAATGTTCAGGAGAATCAGGTACAAATTCAGGTGATTCATCAGAATTCTCCACTCCACTTGAACAGGAATGTGTTACTGGTAGATCGCTTGAAATTAAAGATAACAGCCGCAGTAACTTATCTGTCAATTGGGAACTTCTCTTGATAACATTAAATGAGAGCATTGACACTAATTGCCCGAATGGTGAAGTTTCAAAGTTTCTGCTGGTATTTACAGATTCAGTAAAATCTTTAGGCATACGGAGAACACCTTTTCCTTTTCTAGAGGATGAACTAGAATCCAATCTAATGAGTATATCCCAGAAGTCATTGGAAGTTTTAGTAGAACCAGACTCTTGCGATTCTTTGTTTGGTATTTTTCTTTACTTGGAGGTTTGAAATCATTTGGTAAGAAGTAGCCTGGGAAACTTTTTGCCAACGATATCAATAACTCTAAAGTATGTTTGCAGACCACAGATGCAGCCTGGGGATGAATTGCTATGGGTGATGAAGATTTATTCCTTCGAGTGATGAGTCGCTTCATTAAAAATACATTTGCCCTGCAACCCAAAGCTGCATCCAGACTAATATTCAACCATTGCGGTCGTTCCACAGAATTTATGGACCTAACCGGAAATGGATCATTACTTTCGTTACTCTTTTCTATAATTGACAGCAATGATTTGATAACCCATTCTCTGGTTGGAACATGTGAGCATAGGTTGCGTATAACACGATGTAATCTTAAAGTATTAAATTTAGGTTCATCTATAAATAAAAGAACCAGTAAGCATGTTAAGGACTCATGATCTAGAAGTGGTCTTCCAGTCCTTTCTATTCATATTAACAGATAGAGCTGTTGAGGAATGAGAAGTATTTCCGTCTGGACGATTCCATGCCAACCATGTGGTTCCTTGCCTTTCATGAGGGTTGTTCATTTGATTACCCATGATACCTGAGTGAATCACACATATGAAGTATTAAAATTCATAGATATATTTAAATATCAAACATATGAAACAAATCTAATGCAAACATATGTAAATACAAACCTCTGCTGCGAAGTATTGAGGAAAGTGTAGTAGTCGAATGCCCAATTTGATTAAGAAATCTTTCTTGCATCAATTGTCTATTTCGACTTTCCCAATCCCTTCGTAAATTTTGTGCTTCTGCTGCCAATTCAGGTGGAAGTACAGATATTTGTGACTCCTCCATGTCAGTCAAAATCTTTAAAAATTACAATAACAAAGTTTTACTTTTATTAAAGAATCATGTGATAATGTTTAAACTGTTTTGTTTTTCAATGACATTTATTTATATAATGACATTATAATAAGTCTCAATTGTTTTTTCTCATCTCAGATTCACTGACTGCCCAGCAACATTGTCTATTAATTAAGTAGAAACCATGGAAACATTTATTAAGAAAAAAATGCAATGGCATAAAAGGTAAGAATATACTGAGATACTAATTTTCAAGAAGACAATTCATAATTAAATCGTTTCGTCCTCTAAGAACAAATCACACATTGTAACCAAGCTTCGCAGGACTCAGAACAGGAAAAGAGTTTGCAACAAATTAAGATGACCATTTGTTCTAGTTTGGCCAGGATTCTTAGATCTTAAACAAGCAATAGTAAGAACTACAATTATATACTTACAGCCTGTCTAAGCGAAGGTTGCAGATTTTGGAAGAAAGCAGCAGCATCTACAGGATCATTAGGATTTGCTGTAGCTGCAGCTTGCCTTTGCTGCTCTATCCTTTGCTGTGCTAAAACTTCTTCTTGTATAGCTGGTGGCAGAGCTGCTAAAAATTCTGGATTTACTTCAGCCAAACCCACAGGGCTGGTTTCTGTGGTCATTGTTTGAGCTCGTACACGAATTCTTTGTAATCTGTATATTATTATGCATATTTCCGATTATTGCAAGAATTATGTAAAAAAAAATATATAATTGCTTATGCGTTGAAAACAAATTTATATGAACTTGTAACAACAAAATATGTCTTTGCAACATATTGAAGTATAATCTTTACTTTTGATTTCTGGAAAATTAATTTAATTAAATATTAATAATGAAGTTACGCAAATATATTCCATAATTATAGATTAAAATATATTCCATTATTGATTATATGATATACTATTTTTTTATTACTTTTTTATGTAGGATTTATAGTTTTTATACAATTATGAGTTATATTTTTATAATCATTCCCACTTACCTCATTTGCTCAGCTAATACTTCAGCTCTCATTTCATCTGGCAATGCTGCCAAAAATGAAGGATCTACCCAATCAGGAATGTCAGAAGAATTAGTGTTTCCCGGAGCATCTCCTCCTGGACCGATAGGACCCGTAACAGGAGCAGAAGCGGTCTCAGTAGTGCTATTTGCATTACTTCTAGGTCTACTAGGACCAGCCCCTTCATCTAACATGGCCCAATTGTTGGAAGCTACAGAAATTAGATTACCTGGAGCATCACCTTGTCTACTTGGAGAACCGGTAATACCAATTATGAAGTCCAATGGATCTGGCACGACAGAATTTATAAGGTTGTTGTGAATTACTGTTTGATACAGATGTGTTTGTCGTAGTACTTGAAGGAGTCAAGGAATTTACACTGGCAGCGACGCTAACTGGAATATTGGGCCTTGAAACTGGAACTGTTGAAGGAGGAGTCAATATTGAATTGATATATTCAGATCTCCTAACTGCTTCAGCATCCTCTCTAGCCAATCCTGCATTATCACGAGAAAATTCGTCAGAATCAACAAAATCTGGATCAAAAAATAAATCAGGACTGAAACCTAAGGGTAAATGCTGCGATTGGTTTATTAAATCACTCTCTGAACTATTTTCCAGAGCCCAGTGAGCAAGTGCCCTCGCTGACGCCGTTATATTATCTTGAGCTTCTTGAGAAAGGGAAACATTATCTCCTGAAATTGAGCAAATATAACTCATTTACTATTCCACTGCCTGATCAAGCATTATTAAATCTGAGAATTCAAAGCTGTTGGATTGGTATGCATAGAAATGGACAAACTGGGTCCTAGCAAATCAACAGATTGATCCACAAAATCAATTGCTTCTTCTTCTCTACTATTAGTGAAGACTCCAAAGCCATTGTCGACTACTAGTAATCTATTATCTCTTAAACCACCAGTGGATAAAACACGGGGTAGATTTTGAGAGTCTGGACCAAGAAGCCTGATTAACAAATCAAATTATCAATTATAGAAGATAATTAAGCAGATAATTCAAAATACCTAAAAGTTCATACAAGCACAATCACATATGTAAACTAATATTAGATTTAACAAAAAAAAACATTTGTAATTGTAAAATTCACATGAGAATTTCTTGATTATTCTTGATGTTTGTATAAATATCATTTTTCTTCATTCCTGTACTTTGCAATAGTATAAAATCTTCAATGACTAATGACTTCACAATGACTGTTGATTCAAATCACAGCATACTTTCATTCTTCAAATTTAAGCAAGTCACTAATAGCGTACCTTTGCAAAATAACAGGTGGATTTTGATCTCTTGTATTATTAGGAATTTGAAGATAATGATACCTCCTTTGCCTGTTGGTTCTCTGGGTTCTGGAAACTGCTACATTAGCTGGATCCATACTATGTCTCGCCATCAGAAGAGGGTGCGGGGGAGGCAGCACTATACAGAATAAAACAGAAATTATATATATATATATATATATATATATATATATAATATATGCATCCTGAACCTTTATTCAATGTTAAAACATATTTGTAAATTTAAATATAATTTTTAATTATTCCATATGTAATATTCTGAACTTCAATATTATGATTAGGAAAGTTAAAATACCTGCATCTGGAACGTTAGCTGATTCATCCAATAATCCAAATGGAAAAGATAATCCATTAGACCATTGAACTGATGACGCATTTCTTCGTGAATTTTCGTTTTCACCTTCATTATCAGGATCAGGATATTGAATCATCAATACATTTTCATTTTCTCTCTCCGTGGGACGCATTCGGAATAAACTTTGAACAACTTCATCATCATAAAATTCAAATGGATCATCATAGTCATAGGGGTCATTTTCTGTTTCACCATCCTCTTCATTTTCTTCAGCTAATAATTTTTTTTTATTAAACCAATATCATATAAAATCATAAACAATCGTAATAAGTTAGAATTTTTTTTTTTGTTGAATGTAATACAGTAGAACCTCGATTAACCGGACTAATTATTGTCAATGGCCATTCAGATAATCAAAAATCTGGATAATCCAATGTATTAAAATTAATTTTGTGTATTTATTAAAAATAGCAAATACATACATAGATATCAATGAAAATCAATGTTTATTAAGAATAAACATTAAGATACATTCCTCATGTATGTACATACATATTTTCTTCGATTACAATACACACACACACACACACATATATACTAAAATGCAGTATTAATCATGCCAAAATTCGAATTGTAATTATGAGGTCCAGATAATTGAGGTTCTACTGTACTTTTAATATTTACCATCTTCATCCATTTCTCTGTCTTCTGGTTCTGATCCATTTGAATCTTCATTAGAGTCCCCAGATTCACTGCTCATCATGTCTTCAGTTGCATCTCTATCAGGATTATAAACAATATTTTCAATTGGTTGTTCATCAACAATTTCCATATTATGATTCTCTGACACTTGTTGATGATATCCAGATCTATCCAAATCACGCTCTAGTAGATGATCCATGATTTCCTCTAAACCAGTGTGAACATCACTATGGATATTTGAAGTCTGTTCAAGACCATCAGTATTCTCTGTAAGCTCCTGATCATTACTTTCACTATCCTCAGCACTGACTTCCTCAGCTTGGGCTTGAGTGGTACTGGTGTTAGCAGAATTAGAACTTCCCTGCTCTTCAGTTACTTTTCTGGGTACTTTGAACTTGAATTTAGAATTATGCACTGGTTGATTACTAATTCTTAATAAAGTCTCTAGTGGTTTAAGAGTTGCATTAATGGTTGCAACCATATTTGGACTCGAAAGATCAAGGCATTGGGGTACCCTTGCAAGATCACAAATCAGTCCTTTTCTAAGCATTATAAGAAATATATCATTTCTTTTATATGGGATTTTGATATTGGATGTATTTTCGGTTGGGCAATTTTCAATCATAATTGGAATGAGGGCAGTAAGCAACTGTATTTGGTTGTGTTTTTCAAGACTCTCAGGAAGTGCCAAAGCTCTTAGCAAAGCTTGTTTGACTTCATGTACAACTGCTAGCTGAGCTGACACAGTATGAGATGCAGCTAAAGCAGCTACTAGCATACGAACTGTAGTACAACACTCAATTTCTACAGGACTGTCAATTACAGGTAATAGATTATCCAAAATAAATGCTAAAGCATTTGTGTTCTCCGTGATTAACTCTGATTGGCCAGCTCTATACTCATAATCAGTTATTAATGTTGCAACTATTTGATAGGATCTAACAGCTTCAGCCAAGATTTTCAAAATTACAGATTTCGGCAATAAGGGTTTTCTTACCTCCTCTTCTGTCGATTTACCATTCATAAAAGAAGCATCCCTGTAAGTTTTAAGTGGTAAAATTGGAGTGATTGGCATATCATCTTCATTATTTTCAGGTCGTGAAGCATCGTGGGATGCAGTTCGCAGTATATCAATATGGCCAGGTGTGCGACGAAGGCGAACAGGCTGGTTCACTAGGGGTAAGGCCATAGGTACAGGTGACCTTGTAGCTGTAGTACTAGTACTAACATTTGAAGAACCAGCACTTGTGGATGGCTTTTCTGGAGATACATGAGTGGAACTACTTTGTGTACAGCTTGGACTATTGTCAGTGACTACAGGCTTTACCAAAGCATCAAGTAAATCACAAATTACTTGAATTGCAACAGAATCTTCTGCCAGTGGTGGTCGTGGGTCACTTTGGCTAGGTATGGATTTTAACAACAATCTGTTATCTTCAATTAATGGATTGCGTCTATTTAAAGCATTTACGTCAACTCTCAATATATTCTTTGCCATTTGCAAGTAAACTTCAGGATTTCTAGAAATTGCCGAAGAAAGCCTCGTTGATAAATAGAATAGATCCCTGAATTGAGGCGGAACATTTGACATTGTGCATATTCTCACAACATTCTCCATAGCAGTCCATAATGTCCGTGGTTCTTCAATAATATGCCTTATTAACAGAGTAGCTAAATTAATGAAACCGGTATATGAAGATCCCTGTGTGGTTTCCAATAATACTTTCACACCACCCTCTTTGGCAAAAATAGTTGCATTTTCATGATCCCTAGTGTAACGTAAGCAGATACGCATTAATGCATGTAGAGTATCACGATCAACTGGTAACATCATAAGTCTTACGCATGATGCAACTATTTTACCAGATTCCACTTGATGTAGTTTCTCATATTCACCATTTGGCTTTCTACGTCTTTTAAAAGTATATTCATCTAAGGAATTATCACGAATCTTGCCATCTGTCGTACCTGCCTTCATATCACTACCCTCACGGGTCTTAGTGGTTTCTTTGTACATAGATTTTGGAGTTCGTATTATGCTACGCACATTATTTCCAATTTCAATTTCACTTTGATGGAAATCCCTAAATGATATCAGATATCTCTGGCCACCAGAGTTTATACGACATTCATCATCACCATTGTGATAAGCCTCATTGATAATTTTATTATTTGCAGAAGTGAATGGAACCCATTTACCACTAACAATGTCATAACTTTTCCATAAAGGTGCTGTTAAATCTTCCATTTCTTCTTGTCTCTGTGCAATGAGAGCTACTTTTTCAATTAAATTGAGTAACAATAGCAATGGAGGCATCCATTTTGGAATTACTTGTACATTACCAGCAGAAGTCATACATTTTTCGGCTTGTATAAGAAGAGTTACGAGTTTAGGGACAATTGCTGCACACTGAACAACTTCTGTGTTAGGAATACGCATGTCTTTTATTTTAGCTCCTTCAAATAACAGAGTGAATAAATATATCCTAACAGCAGCTTTACTGGAAGCATCGCTATGTATTAAATCATGCACAATTTCTGCAGCTGGTTTGTTTTCTTCTGTTACTGCTATCAATTGCTGAACATTACTGGAGATCTCATTTACAAGAGTAACCAGCATATCATCTCTCCATTTTACCCCATTACGCTTTGTAATAGTAACCAGCAGAACACATACTCTATAAACAGTGTCTGGTAATATATCAAGTAAATTCAAACAAGCAGCTAAAGCCCCTTTTGTAAAATGGTTAATTACATCTTCTGTCAGGGGTACATCATCAACAGGTTTTTTACTGTCGTTCTTATTTTGTTCTTTGGAATCTGAATTTGGTTTATCTCCAAGAGACATAGCAATTGCACGTAACATTTGGTAATCTTCAGTCAAATCCAAATCCATGCTATTAGCACCTCTGGATGAAGGAGGACTACTCAATAAATAATCAGTTGCCTGCTCTAAAGTTGAAGTATGAAGTAGAGCTTCAGTAGAGAGATCTTTAGAAAATCCCATGTCCATAAGCTGCTTTAAATGATCAGCATCTACATCTGCATCAGGGAGGAATGTGCTAGCAGTGCTTGTTCGAGGTGCATCAGAACTTGCACTAGTACTTGGTGGATTTTCATCTTCTGCAGCAACTACAGTTCTCTCAGCAATTATTTGTTCACCACGCAAAATGTGTCTTATGATGGATAACATTGTTTCACTCATTCTTCCTCCATAAGTTTTTAAAGGTTTTTTACCCCACATCATCATTATGGTATTGAACGCTTGTTTATGTATTTGGTTGAGATATCGGATTGCATCAAATTCTTCACCCTTCCTTCTAGCTCTAGCTGGAATTACATGTGGTGTATCTAATATAGACTTGGGATTTACCATCTTCTCCAACAATAATAACCAAGCATCTAAAAATTCTGCAGTGCCTTCTGGTAAATCAGGATGTTCCAGCCCCTTCTGCAGCGGTATAGTCCCTCCTGCTGACAATGCCCATCTAAATGTATCAAAAAATGCTGTTTGGCCCCCTTCCTCTACAAACATTTGCAACATAATATGATAAGCATATCTTTTCTCATCAAATAACATTGGACTTGTGAAACCAACAGAGCATATTAAGAATGTTAATCGGAACTTTGGAACTGGAGTGATTGGCAGTTTTTTCCATGCAAGTCCTTCTACTAAGATATAACTTAAAACTCGAGCTATATCTCGAGATGCAGGTATTGTCAAATTCGGTGTTGGATGTATGTTTTGTCCACGTCTTTGCCTTATTGGAGACCCAACACAAAGTTTTACTAATAGACCAAATAATTCAGCTAAGGCACGCCCCAATCTGGAAGAAGCTCCTAGAAGTGTTCGAACATATTTTAACTGTTGAGCATTAGCTCTTTGCTCATTTGTTCGCTCAGACAATGCTAAAGATTGATTAGAATCCACATCCATGTTAATTGGTGATGGATTTGTACTAAGTGCTTCCATTGCACTTGTCATTCCATTGCTACCAGAATCTTGATTTATCATTGTAGACCAAGGTGTTTCAGTATCGCTCTGTATTTATTACAATAAAACAATAAGTAAATGGTAAACGCTGTAAATACCATAAAATAATTTAAACTTACCCTTAAATCCTGGGGTAGAAGTTTATCAAGATCTTCTCTTCCAAAATCACATCCAGCAGGTATAATATCATCGCTACATAAAGCTAAAAGTAACGTACTCTCCCAAACCAATGCAGTATATAGCTTCACTAAATTATGGAGAAGTTTTCGGCCATATTCATTGTCTTGGCCCCATTTTTGTAAAGCCATAGTTCTAATTTCAGCACGACCAGTTCGACAAACATGTACAAACATTACTATATAACCATGAGCAGCACCCATAGCATGCAAAAGAGGTGTTGCTGAAGCAGTTGAGAAGGCACAATCTATATTGGGTGCAGTTGCTAGTTCTTTTAAAAGTACTGATCCCCCTGGAGCAGTAAGATGGTCATATAAGGGCTCCAATGTCTGCACTAAATTATACAGATGCTCCAGACCAATTTGAAGCACTTGAGGTTCATGTCCCAAGTTCTAAAATTAAAAAAAGTAAATAAAACACATTGAAGTACAAACACAATAAAAATTATGTAAGAAGTGAGAAATGTGAAAAATATTTATGCTAGATGAAATTAACATACCAAAACTGATTTGCATACTGATGCAACTGCTTGTGCAGCCTGGGTTATGGGAGAATCAATAGGCAAATTGGGCAACCCAACAATGGCCAATAATGGTTTTAAGCCACCCTGGTGTACAAAGGCTCTGCAATGATCATCTGTAGAATTATTACTTAGTATAGCATCTACAAATTTCATCACATTGAGAATATAGTCCACCAAAGCTATAGGTGTTTTCTCATTAAGAGTTTGTGATGTATTATCTTGATGTGACTCATCTCTTTGAGTATGTGATGATGTTGAAGCTTCTTCTTCATCCTCATCATCCTCATCACTGCTTCCAGCTTCATTGTTACCAGAAGATCTTGCTGTAGGTGGGGGTGATGCACAAACATCCGATTTACTCTGAGCACGCCAACATACATATTTAGGATCAGTGCCCAAATGCACTAAATCTTCTAATAGTCGAATTATAGCATCTGTTGCATCTATTTTTAAACTTGGTTGATGCCTAATTAGCTCATCCATTGCATTGCCTAGATTTGAAGCGGTGTCAGACATGGGGTGAGAATTTCTTCTTCTCCGCATAGCAGCCAAGTATACAGGTGAAAGCAAAACCTTGAATAATTTTTCGAAGGGCTTGTACTTCACAAATGACAATAATCCACGTGCATTCAAGCACAAAGCACTAAATACATTTGGTAAGGAACCAATGACTTCTCTAGTAGCTGGCACATCTTTTATCAACAAGGCATGCAGCAAAACTTCAGTTAAACCATTGTCTTGTAATGAAGATAGATGACTAGGTTCTTGAAAAACATAAACTGTTACCACATCCGTTGCCAACAAAAACAATGAAGGGCCATAGTATTCCGCATTGCTAATAATGTGCTTTAATGATGAAGGCAAAGTTCCTTCCATTACGTGCCGTATGCTATCTGAGAAGGCTGAATCTTGAATTGCCTTTTTCAAAAAATTTAACATAGATTTTAGAAGAGCTGCTCTTTGGGGTAAACATGTAAGACCAGTTTTAAGGTTTCTATAATCTGCTGCAGTTGGTAGCACAGTTCTGTCTCTAGAAGTTGAGGGAGCAGGTTCACCTTCCCCAATATCATCAAGACCTAGTTGTTCTGGCTGAATTACTATTTCATAAGGTTGTTCTTTTCTACATAAATTCACTTCCATCTGAAACCGGTTGCCAATAATGAACACAATTTAAACAAAACTTTTTTAAAAAAAAAAAATAATAGCAAGTGTATGAAAGCTTGTCTTAACAGTTGAGATTCATGCATATATATGATCAATAATTTTACTTAAGTAATGTAAGCATGATCATATTTTGATAGGTTGTGGAGCATAGCTAGTATCATAAGTTTAAACCTAAATTACCAGTAAATAAACTCACATTTAGTCGGGAAATAAAACTACTTATTCCACAGTGGGTGTGAAAGGCTTGCATATCAATGTTCGTTATTAAATCAATAACACGGACAGCACGGGTAACGAACTAAAAATAAATGATTGCATTAGATTACTTTAATTGCTTATGAATGACATTTTTCATAAAACTTACTGTTATATGTTCTAATTCATTTCCAGGCCAATTTATAACCCTTAGCAAGCTTTCCATCATACCACAGGCAACTAAAGCCTCACCCCCACATTCATAACTAGCTAAATGATAAAGAAAGCTAAACAAAGCTGTAGCAAGAGGTAAAGGAAATAAATTATCTCCTTCTTCTTGCTTAGGTTGTGTTAATGTACGAATGCAAGTCCTGACAAGAACTGGGAGAAAACCATGGTATGATGCAGCACCAGTAACACCAATAATAAGATTTAGCCGAGAACCAGGTTTCCTTTAAAAGAAAAAAGTATTAAATAAAGTAAAACACAATTTATTATATATATATATATATATATATATATATATATATATATATATATATACATACTTAGGCAAATGAGGATTCCTGTCCAAATGAATAATAGATGTTAAGGTCCTCAATGCAGCTGCTCTTATTTCAACCAAATGGGGTTGTTGTAACTCTAACAATTCAACTAATTCATCAAGTAAACCAGGATATAGCAATGTATGCGCACTATCTTGGAGAGCATTAGCATACACTAAAACTGAAAGTGCTTGAAGTCGTGCTTGAACAAATTGCAATCTGGCAGAATAATCATGGAATGATGCTGCTAACCGGAGTCTTGTAAATATATGCAACTGTAAATAAATATGCAGCAATTACAATATTGTACAAAATGGAACATATTAATGAACACACTCATTTATAAATTGAAAACTTTAATTTAGTACATACAAAGAAATATTAGTTTTAAAATAATTTTGAATTCAATGTAAATTAATTAATTTCAAGTAGCCACAACAAAAGATTATGCTTGCATTTTACAAATAATAAAAACCTTATCAATTCAAATTGAACAGATCTGATTTTACATAAGCTTCTAGTAAAATAAATGCTTATGTTCACCTTTCACACAAGCTTCTAGTAAAATAAATGCTTAAGTTCCATTTTTATGCAAGGTTTTAGTGAAATTAATGCTTACAAAGTCAAGAATTCAATAATATATACTAACTTATATTCTATAATATACATTTTATAATTTTACATACAATTTTTTCTTCTGACAAATCTTTTCTTTCTTCTGTGATCCGAGACATATGATCGGCCACTGATTTTCGAGGCACTTCTAAATGAATATCTTTAATATGAATTAATGACCAATTCCCATCTTGCCCAAAATATTCATAGTAAAGAGTAGATGCAGTTTGAGGAACTTCTTGATCTTCCTTACAACAGTCTGCTAAACCAAACCCATAATCATTACCCCCCCAGGTCTGAAAAATAAAGAATATTGATAATAACATGCACATGCAATTAGTATCCTTGTATATAATTAGTACTTTTAATATACTTAAATAATTTTGCTACAATATTTTTTTTATAGAACTTCATTTTACAGAGAAGATTCAAGTCAGTTTGTATAGTGCTAATATTTATATTCAATGGATTTTCTTCCAGAAAAAATAATCTTTTGTGTTCTTAAAATATTTTCATATACTAAATTATAATAATATATTACCTCAGCTAAAAAATTAAGACGACAAAGAAGTGCTTGTCGTTGATCACTATTGAGTCGAGTAATAAAATTAGAACGCTTTGAAAACATGTACAATAAATTCAAAACACCCAGAACAATCTGCATATTTGAGGAAGACAATAGTGTTATCAAATGCTCCATCGAGTTGTATAAGTGGCGAGAAAAAGAATGTTCTATAAGTAAAGTTGTAAAATGTAACACCAATAATAGAAGTTTTTGATCCTGAAATAAAAAAGTTTATATAAAAAAATTATTTTGTACCTTCACAAAAAAATTAAGATTTATAATTACATTGGTGTTGAAAGATATATCACAGGTAATATAAAATCTATCATTAGGGGGGCAAAATACAGCCTCCTCCAGAATTGAATCAAATTTATTGAGTATCTCAATCCAGTGATACAATTCACACTTTCCAAAAGTCCAAGTTTCGACTTTTGAAAGCTCTGTGCAAAGCTCATTTTTGGAACAAGTTTTTAACTTGTCGATAAGGTTTTGGCACTCAGAAGGTACTTCAGAAGTGCTCTTCTTCAGCCTGTTCCTGTCAATCTTCATGGTTGCTCACAAGTATTCACATCTGTAAATGACAATCACTTTAGACATTTACTGAAGCACTATTGCACAAATTAACTATATCTCATTAAGGACAAACACATGAAAAAACATTTCACTGACAGCCCTCAGACAAAATAATGTATATTATTATCAGCACTTTGTAAAGAATACAGTAAATTAAAGTGGCAAACAAAACTAAAACCTGCGCATATATTTACCATTTTAGACCTACACAATAAAGAACAAGAAAATTAAAATGGCAGCCATACAGACTTACTAAACTCAAACAAAGAATAAATTCCGTATTTGTCTAGTAAACGTTTGGAATACATTTACTATTAATTAAGAGTATTTACCAGTAAATATATATCAGTCATCAACTATATTCAAAACAAACATTTCTTTTATTTTAAGAAACTTCGATAAAACACCGGACATATAAATTTTCGCTTTAACTTAGACGATGAGTTCAAGAGTTTTCGCTCTATTGGCAATACTTGTCATCAAATCGCCACATAGAGCAGAAATATGAAAAGCACTGAAGATACGAAATCATTTTCAAATCTTCACTAACTTTTTGCCATACAAAAAGTCATTACAAAAATAAATAAAATCAAAAATATATAAATATAAATTATAAATATAAATTATAAATATAAAATTAAATATATAAATATAAATATAAATTGTAAATATAAATATAAATTGAAATATAAATATGAAGAGGAAGAGAAGATGAAGAGGAAGAGGAAGAGGAAGAGGAAGAGGAACAGGAAAGAGAGAAAGAGGAAGAGAGGACGAGGAAGAGGAGGGGACGAGGCGAGGAAGAGGAAGAAAGAGAAAGAGAAAGAGAAGGAGAAAGAGAAAGAGAAAGACAAAGAAAGAGAGAGAGAGAAAGAGAAAAGAGAAAGAGAAAGAGAAGAGAAAGAGAAAGAGAAAGAGAAAGAGAAAGAGAAAGAGAAAGAGAAAGAGAAAGAGAAAAAAAAGAGAAAGAGAAAGAGAAAGAGAAAGAGAAAGAGAAAGAGAAAGAGAAAGAGAAAGAGAAAGAGAAAGAGAAAAGAGAAAGAGAAAGAGAAAGAGAAAGAGAAAGAGAAAGAGAAAGAGAAAGAGAGAAAGAGAAAGAGAAAGAGAAAGAGAAAGAGAAAGAGAAAGAGAAAGAGAAAGAGAAAGAGAAAGAGAAAGAGAAAGAGAAAGAGAGAAAGAAAGAGAAAGAGAAAGAGAAAGAGAAAGAGAAAGAGAAAGAAAAGAGAAAGAGAAAGATAAAGAAAATAGAGAAAGAGAAAAGATAAAGATAATAGAAAAGAAAGATAAAGATAAAGATAAATATAAATATAAATATAAATATAAATATAAATATAAATATAAATATAAATATAAATATAAATATAAATATAAATATAAATATAAATATAAATATAAATATAAATATAAATATAAATAATATATATATATAGTATCACGTTTGGATTATAGCTCTATATGAATTAGAGACATGGACTCTAAGAAAAGCTTTAAAATATGGTGCTGGAGACAAATGGCAAAGTAGGCAGCAGGCAAAGTAAAAATTCTACTAAGCATGATCATGAAGAGAAAATGAAATTAAATCGAACCCATATTCGACATCGTCCAAAGTAAAATAGAAAGACTGAAAGGACTAGGAAGAAGAAAAATGCAAATGATTGGAAGTAGAAGGACCGAAAGGACCAAGATCGAGAATAATGCAGATGATTGGAAGTGAAAGAACTGAAAGGACCAAGGCAATAACAATAATGCAAATAATTAAAAGTAGAAGGACTGATTAAACTAGGAACAATAAGAATAATGACCAGGAACAAAAATAATGTAGATGATTGAAAGTAGAAGCAATGAAAGGACTTGGAAGAAAAATGCAGATAACTGACGACTAAAATAAATTTTATATAATAATAAAAAGAAAGATCTTACCTCAAAATATATAAGAACTAGAGAACAATAAACTAAGTTCAATATTAAAACATTTAACTATTATATTATTTAGTAACAAAAGCGATTGCAAAAAAGTTAAATTGCATTATGGGTAATGTTATTAATAATTTTGCAGGATAGAGCAAGTACAAGAAAACTATCTTAAATAATGTTTCTAATTAAAGTAATTAAAGCAAAAATTGTATACCAATTATTAAAAGTAAAATAGTATGCTTACCGAATACTGTTTCTTGAATATTTAACTTTCGCTAAACTTTATATCTTCGATACACAAAAACGCAATAACGTACAATTGGTTTTCCAAGATCGGGAAAAGATGGAGAAGGCGAGAAGTCCAATCTATGCAAAAAGTTAACTAGTTTTTTGTCTTGTGTTGGCTACTTGAGAATTACCAAAACAAAGATCATTCTGCAGGTACTTCACAATTGATGTAAGAAGTGTCAATTTTGACAATAAATTGAAAATGCTTAAAAATGTTAGCAAATTCAAGTGCAAGTCATAAAACGACTCTACAAAATGAAATACATAGTTAGTTTTAATTTTATTACTATAAATAACAATAACTAATTAGAGTAATCTTTATTTAATTTGGTTTAATATTGTTTCTATATTATTACCTTACTATTATTATTTCTATATTTTTACTTATCTATTTCTAGAAATAACTAGTGAAGTTCAATTAAGGCAGTATGGATTATTTTTGGAAAGATATGAATCTGATTTGGAGAGTATACTCGACGCGATGGAGTTTAGCACAACATCTCAAATTGATTTTGATAAGAATCTTATTAAGCTGGACTTATCGTTGAATGAAACCATTTCTATGAATTCTTTACCAGTTGAGTATGCGATCCTGAATAAGGTAAGAAACTAACAATATTACCTATTTTTACTGACAATTTTGTAAATTTTCAATCTCATATAGGTTGTGCAATCTTTCATTACACTCTGTGTGGAAATCAAGTTACTAAATTGTGAAGCAAGAGATAAATATTACAACTTGATTATGCTATATGGTGAAGGTATGCATGTTTAATAGTCTTTATTTAATTCAATTTTATTTGTTTATGAATTTCAATTTTAGCCGGGGAAGAAAAAACTCAGGAATATATTGAATTTTCAAAATTAGAAAGTATGTTAAAAGTATTGAATGATCTTTGTGTGTTTGTAAATCGATGTCAAACGGTAGTTGTGGAGATAATTGCTCAACTGAATTGTCTTTCAAAATCTGATCACCTTTCACAGTTTTCATATCCTGGAGCAACTGAAATTGTGTGTATAAAATCATGGATTACTGTCAATTAACACAAAATGTAATATTTTGTTTTTTCCAGGATATTTTTTATTACATGTGTGATATGTTGCTTGTTTTAATTACTATAGAAGAAATTTTACAAAATAGCATTATTCTTGATCATTGGAAAATGTACCGTAGAACTGTAAAATCAGTACACAGAAGCCATTCTACATTTAATTTAGATTTAAATGTGTTAGATAATTTAGACGAAATTCTAAACTATATAGAAAATCAATTACTCTCCGAAAACATTATACAGGTAGTTATATTATGCATAATATATTCATTATATTTAATATTGACAATGCATTTGACCTGAATTCTTTTTTTGACTTTCAGAGTACAATCAATAAGTGTGTACATTGTTTGTATCAAAGCAATAATGAAGTAAATAAGGTTTTAGAAAAACGGTTTTATTCATATATAAGGATTTTGATTAATGATTTAGAGAAATGTGATCCTGATTTAATTGATACTGAAAAATCTACCGAGTGGGTGAAATTAAATGTTTTATATATATTCTATATAAAATTATTTAAAGTTAATGATAAGAAGTTTTTTAAAATCTTGAAGGGTGTCAATAAAAAGGTATATATTGTTATTTTTGATTAATTTTTCTATTTATTACTGTATTAACTATTTCAAGGTCCCATGTGTTACTCTAGTTGGAAATATAGTATGGTGCTCTGAACAATTTTTATCTCAGCATTCCAATATTATCAAAGGTTTTGATCAGAGGTTCATTCAAGAAATGAATAGAGTAAAGCAAACATACTTACAAAACAAAACACAGAATTTACTAAAAGATTCACATAACACAGCACTACAAGTACATAATCAATTTTATAAATGCGCCATAATAACATTAGTATGTATTAATTTATGATATCGTATCAATTACAGATATTTACATGGATTTTAGAAATATCAGCAATTTTACAGGAAGGTGCAAATAATTTGAAATTAGAACATTTGACACAACGAACACATTTGTTACTGCAAGTATGTGTGTGAATTTAAGAGAAACTTTATTTGGCATTACTAATTTATATATATAAATATGTTTGTTTTCAGGGCCTTACGCACGCATATTATTTAAACTATACAATTAAATCAATCACAAATTTACATATGGCTCAAAATAAGCCTATGACTAAATCATGCTTATTATCTGTTTGCAAACTGGTTGAGTTATTAAAGGCAGTACATCAAATATTTTCAAAATATTCAAACCGAATTGTAAATTTTATACATAATATAATGCATTATTTAATATATCAGTCATTAAATATAATTTCTATAACAAAGGTATGTAATTATATTTTATAGCCATTATTTATCAAACTACTTATTCATTATAATCTTTTGTTTTAGAAAGCTTTATTAAATGAAAAATCCTATGTCAAAAAACATCCTGAAGTATTGGCCGTACTTTCACTTTTGGAGAGATCATTACATGGTCCAAGTACGGAACGAAAAATAATAATTGCCCATCTGGCATTATCTTGCATTAATGTAACACAAGTATTTCATGATGATAACTTGAGTAAATTAATAAAAGACCTAAAATATATACAAAGGATACAAAATTTTCAAGAATATTTGGATGATACTACAGATTGTTCTTTTTTATTTTGGCATCAATCAATACTGCCAGCATATTTTAGTAATGTTTACGAGAATAAAATGGATATATCTAAAATTTATGTGAGTTCTTTATTTACTGTTATTATTAATGTTCAATGCAAATAAAATCATTTATCAATTATAGTACATGTTTCAAGCATTGAATGATTTTGAAGAATCTGAGGAATATAAGGAAAGCTACATGAAAACAATAGATTCATCATTAAATGAAAAGATTTTGGAACCTTTATGTTCACAAGTAGAAACAGATTTGAGACTTCAAATACACTCACATTTACAGCCAGGTTTAATGAACCCATTTGATGATGGTACTCCAGAAGTTAGTAACAGTTTATTGGAACTAAATCCTATATTATGCGGCCAGAAATATATTGATATTAAAGGTATTTATATTGCCTAGTGATAGGTAATATTCAACTAACACCAAAAGTTTTGTAATACATGTATTACAACTAAAAGGTATTTTAAGGGCACGTGGAGAATTATTTGGATTCCATGTTTTATAATTTAACAACAGTTGTACTCTTTGACTGGAAAACTTATGGGGAAATGAGACGGTTAGCAAATGAGAAATTTTTCTTACATACTATTGAAGATCATCTGCCAACACAAACCTTAGAACAAGTAAGATACATTTTTATGTGTACAATATAGAATACTAAAATCTTTGCATATTTTTGGAGAGTATAATGAACTACAATAAGTTGCAAGGTTCAGATATTTATAAATGAAATAAATTAGTAAATGAAATATGTTGGGATGAATATTTTTGTACTCTATTGGTAATTATGAATTTATTCAAAGGGATTGGACGTGTTGGAAATCATGCGAAATATGCATATATTTGTTGCAAAGTATCTTTACAATCTAAATAACCAAATATTTGTTGAGAAATGGAGTAATAATAAGCATTTAAATACTATAAATATTCAACATGTTGCAAACTCAATAAGAACGCATGGTACTGGAACTATGAACACTACAGTAAGTTTTTCTTCATTAATTTTTATTTAGATATTTTCAAACATATTTACTACAAATTTTGCATTCTAGATTAATCTAACATATCAATTTTTGAAAAAGAAATTTTTTGTTTTTTCGCAATTTTTGTATGACGAACATATTAAATCTCGCCTGCTCAAAGACTTACGTTATTTCCGTGAGCATAAAACGGAATCGAATCCCATGTACAGCTATGATAAGGCATACAACTTTAATAAAGCCATTCGAAAGTTGGGTATATCATCAACTGGTCAAAGCTATCTGGATCACTTCAGATTGTTAATAACCCATTTAGGTAACTTTTCAAAAGCATTAAAGATATACATAATTCATATAAAATTATTTATTTGATTTCAAATCTACATTAAAGGAAATGCAATGGGTTATGTACGAATGATAAGATCAGGTGGACTGCATAGCTGCTCTAACGCTAGTGTATTTTTACCAGTACTAGATGAAAACAAAACATTTGAAGAATTGTGTCAGGCGAACTGTTTATCAGAAACAGTATGCCAGGCTGCGCATGTTTTGGAGCAAGATATACGAAATTTAGCATGCAACTTTGCTGAAGGTTCAGAATATTTTAAGGTACGAATTTGTTAAAAAAAAAAAAATAACAACTTCTATAGTATAAATATATAAAATTTGCTTCTAGCTTTTAGTAGATGTTTTTGCTCCTGTCTTTCGCAATCCTAGAAATATCCATTTGAGAAATTTCTATATTATTGTTCCATCACTTACAATAAATTTTGTTGAACATTTAATAACAGCTAAAGATAAATTAACTAAGAAGGATAAGTCTGGTGCTGCATTTACGGATGATGGTTTTGCCATGGGTAATATCAAATAGAACAAAATTATTTATATTTCAGTTCTATTATATTATATGTAAACATTTTTAGGCCTTGCATATATTTTGAAGTTATTAGATCAAAATTCTGAAATGGATTCACTTCATTGGTTCCAATCAGTTAGTGAAAAGTGTAATCAGGAAAAACAGATTTTAGCACAACAAAAAGTTAACGCTAGCAGAGATGATAAAACATTACAACATACCCTATCATTAACTACTAAGAGACTTGAATTGTTCCAACAGGTTAATTATTTATATATCTTTAACAAAATTTATGAAGTTGTTATTATAAAACATTTCTATATTTTCAGGAATTTAAGTTACTTTATTATAGCTTCAGCAGTGCAAGAATATTCTTTCAATGATAAGAATAGAAAAAATGCTCATCATAAAAATAAATGTCTGAATATAATAATTATTGTTACGTTATATATTTATAAAATATGTATCTAAATTTGTAAATAAACAGAATTAAAATATACACCGATTTTTTTTATCAATTTTGTCGTAAAAATGAATTTATTTTAACTACAAATATATTAACTTTTTGAATTCCATTATGATATTTTGAATAGTTTACAATTTTATTTAGTTTAAAATTTGTTTAGAATTTTTCATAAAAACGTGAAGTTTCAGCAAATGGCTTTTAAATTTTTGAAATCCGTTTTTGTTCAAAGCAGGTCCAGCTGTTTCGAAGATACAGGACAAAAAGTGCAAAAATGGCAATTCAGTTTATCAGAAAACTGAGTATCCGATTTGAATGATTGATTCAAAAAGCATTTCATTTGTAGAGATGAAATTAAAGAGTTGTTTTGGAAAGGGCTGGTCCAGTGGTTTTGGAGATACAATAAACAAAGTTAAAAACTATGCCATTTGGCGGTCAAAAATAATTATTTGACATATGCACATCAAATTTTTAGATATTTTATAGAAATTTTAATAATAAGTACAATATCTGTTCACATTTATATGGGTTCCTTATCAAGATTTATAATGTTTAGCCGTTAGAGATTGTGCAGATTCAATATTTTGACTCCAAAGCAACTTTCCAAAAATATTTAAAAAAAAATCAAATGTTGCAAAAAATTTCAAAATTCTTATTTTTTTTTCTAAAATTTTAAATTATAGCACGAAAAGTTTGAGCAACTTGTCTTAAGGCTAAGGTTACTAGTTCAATTCTGGTGTCAAACGATTCAGAATGACTTGAGAACATATAAAAGAAAATCAGATTTTCCCTTTGGGAAGAAGTTAACAAGAATGTGAATACGCACAGAAATTTCTATAGAAGTGCCTTAAAGATAGCAGCACGATATATGAAGAAGCTGCACCGACTAGATAAAACCAGTACTGAACTGTATTTTAATTCTTATAGCGGTTTGCGATTATTATAAATACTGGAATAATTATATTACTGATTTTTATTTGCTACCGAACTACTCTAATTTGACTCTAGGAGCTGAGATTTTATCATAAACTAGTGGTGCATGGCATCGTGCCTTAAAATAAATTGCTGGAACCATAGATAAAAGAAGAGTATGGAACTTATTGCCGTACCGTATTTTTTTTTTGAAAATCAGATTTGTGAGAATTTTGAATTTATTGAAAAATAGAATCTATTATTTAAAACATTAGTTTTTTTTTAATTTTTTGAAAATTATGAACTATTTGAAAAGATTGACTTTTTTAAAAATGTTGAATCCCATTCAAGTCGGTCGAACCATACTGTTAAAAATGTCTAGAACGCTTGTCTTTTTTTAAAAAAATTAGATATTTTGAAATTTTTGAAATATTTGAAAAGATCGCCTTTTTTAAAAAATTTTGAATCCCATTCAAGTCGGTTGAACCATACTGTTAAAAATGTCTAGGACACTTGTCTTTTTATAAATATTAATTAAAGAAATTTTTTGAAGATTTTGAAATATTTGGAAAGATCCGACTTGAATAGGATTCAACATTTTTAAAAATTTCGAACGACACTGTTAAAAATGTGTAGAAGACTTGTCTTTTTTTTAAAAAGATAGATTTTTTGAATTTTTTTTTAAATTTTGGAATATTTGAAAATATCGACTTTTTTTAAAAATTTTCTAGGACATTTGTTTGAAGTATATATGTAAACTTTCGAACATAATAAATTATGGTACCGAGCCCATAGAAAAGGAAACAAATATTGTGCATATTAATAAAATCTCCTAAAAATATCTGATAATTTGATGTGCATATATCTAACTATTATTTGGCATTTTTTTTAACTTGTTTTTTTTAGATCTCCAAAACTGCTGGATCTGACTATCCCAAAAATTTAACCAATTTTTCATTCCGTTAATACAAGTGAATGTTTTTCTAATCAGCAAATCGGACGCTCCGTTCTCTCAAAATTGAATTGCCATTTTGGCACTTTTTGATTTTCATCTTCAAAAAGGGCTAGACCTGCCTTTTCAAAAAAATGATCGGCACGTCTTCCCATCAATAGAAATCGAATATTTTGTCAATAATCCAAATCGGCTAAATTTGCATCAATCGAATGCGTTAAAGGCATCTTTCAAACGTCCTCAAAAATGAGAAGAACCAGTAATTAATATCTTTTCATTTGGTGGCAGCGGTAAGATGACATAAAATATTATAATAAATACATAATAGTTCTCAACAATACATACGCACCATACATCATTTTTTACAAAGGGTACTGAGAAGTAATCAGCGAACATTGTTATACTTGAAAGAATTTTTTAAATCTTTTTTATTAATTTTATTTACTATTTATGGCTCAATTAATTCACTCACAAAATGCTCAGAACCCTTTGAAACGTAAAGATATGCAAAAAAATTCATTTACGATTTTTTTGCAATTACTATAACATACCCTGCGGAAATTGTGAATAAGAGGAATACCCTAAAATTGTGAATGAGAGTAATGATACAGAGGTCTTTTAGCCAGAAGCTTGACATTAAACGTATGGCTGTACTACAAATTATTTGCCAAAAGTCGGTCAGGTCATTTATTCGAGTTATACTAATTTAGGGTAGGTTAAGGCTAAAGGCCCAGATCGACGGTGTACCAACTAGAACAGCTGGCGGTGGACAGCACATAGCACAATGGTCCAACGGCCCAACGGCCCAACGGCCCAACGGCACGCCGCTGGGATTGTTCATTCTAAAATCTCGTACGATGCGCGCGCATTCCGCATGCGATCAATGAAGATATGCAGACCGTGGGGAGAAATGCTCAGACACGAACAGGGTTGATTCGACAATTCATTTCTTCGAATCAATCGAATCATTTCTTAGTTTTGAACGAGATATAACATATATATGCATCTCTTCTGCATGATTTGATTTATATCAGCAAATGCAGATGCTACTTGATAAACGAGGTAAAGCGCATATTTTATAGAAAAAGGTAATAAATTTACTCACGTTGGAAACTGGAATGTGCACGGTGAGAAGCGCAGAGGTGTGCTTCATCTTATTTAAATACAGCATCTGACATGACGAAGAATACTGAAATACAATTATTTTTATTATTCAAAATTGCAAATTTTAATAATTTTCTCTACAGTAAAACTCCTTTAAGACGATTTTTCAGGGAATATGTACTTACTATTTATAATCTTTCTCTACTTCTATAATTACCATAAAAATATAACTTAATCATTATCTATGTTATTATGTATTTAACTGGTTTTTGAGTTCAGTTTGAGGTTTTTAAACCAGTTCGTCTGCAATAAATTCTTACACAACGGATTATATATACACCGTAATAAAGCTAAGCATTTCCTGAAACTGGAAGATCATACAATACTATAGTTGCTCAATTTCTTCACCATTATTACCATTACTACATACGCAGAAGAAAAGTGTTCATAGACTTGTGTTACATATAAAGGAGAGTGAATGGCACTAATTAGGAGGAAAGTATAATTAAGAGAGAGAATCATAGCATTCTAGATCCTCCCCCCATGAAGTAATGCCTAATGGCAGTTCCCGTGGCTAAAGAAAAGCGGAGGTTTTGGTCGGTATTATACCCAGGCGGTATTGAACTCGACATACCCAGGTCATCCAAGTCTCATCAAAACATACACTCAATAAATAATTCTGGATAACTGTTATAATTTATGATTTTATTTTCTTCTTAAGGCAAATTGCTGGAACTTCCCGTACGGAAAATTAAATTTGAAAAAGATTTTGAAAAATTTCGATTTTTGAGAAATTTTGAAATTTTTGAAAAGAAACTGACCTTTTTGAAAAAAATATTTTTTTTGAAAATTTTGAACATTCTCTTTAAGCAATCGCTCTGCATAGCTAATTTGAAGTCGTAATATCAAAGCGCGTAAGCGCCGCGTAGTCGTCTAACATGTAAACATTGGTACCGAACCAATAAAAATGGACACACAATTTGTACTTATTATTATAATCTTCATAAAATATGTGATAATACGATGTACATATGTCTAATGTTCATTTTTGACCGCCAAATGGCATTATTTTTTACTTTTTTTTATTGGATCTCCGGAGACGCTGAATCTGCTTTTACAAAAAATTTATCAGTTGTTTATTTAGTCAAAACAAGTAAAATGCTTTTTGAATTATTTAAATCGGACGCTCCGTTATCTCAAAAACTGAAATACCATTTGTCGCACTTTTTGCCCCGTATCTCCGAAACGGCTAGAACTACCTTTGCCAAAAACTAATCAGTACGTCTCCTTATCAGTAGGAATCGAGTATTTTTTGAATTATTCAAATCGGTTGATCCGTGTTCGCGGAGTTGTCGACGAAAATTTGTATCCGCACACACATATACACACACATACATCAATTTTTTCAAATGCATGCCAAAATGTTCAGAAACCTCTGAAACGTAAAGATCTATAAAAAATTTCATTTTCTATTTTTTGCGATTACTATAACTGACCCTACGAAAAGTTAATTACCCAATAGAGAACAATCAGAATTAGAATATTGTATCGTAATTGTAATAATTTGAAAGAGTTCAGTTCATCCAATCTTGTTCGGTAAGAATTGTATAGCTAGGCGGAGTTGGTCAACAAGTTTGAATGTCGGGTGGCATGCTGGTAGCAAAATGTGTGTAGGCATTGAGAGAAATGCTTTAAACGTGGTAGTATGTGCCCTTTCATTCTTAGAATTTGCAAACGGGTAAATATCGGAACTACTTGGAACTTGGAATCGTATCTTATAACAGGAGGCATTTTTATATTAGACTCAACTATGATTTATCGTAATCTATGCAGAAAACGATGACGTATAAGTTTTAAATACAATGATGACGTATCTGTATAGCGATAAATAAATTCTATTCGTTAATTAGTATTTTGGCATCCACTGATATCATTCAGTCGTTCACCCGTCA